CTGGGGCTGCAGGAAACGCCAGCCGTTTCCGAGCCCCACCGCAGGGATCGCGCTGAGGCCGGACCTGGGGGGCCGCATGCTCTGGGGGTTCTCATGCTCCCTTTGATCCAAGTGATGGGGGTTTTTTTTTTGGTGATGTATAACCCGTCTGCTTTTAGTCTCCCAAAAAGGTTGGTGATGACATTGCCAAGGCCACGGGTGACTGGAAGGGGCTGAGGATCACGGTGAAGCTTACCATCCAGAACAGGCAAGCTCAGGTACTTAATGCCAGAAGGGATGGCTTAGTGGTGCAAGCATCAAGCTTGAAATACCTCTGCTTGCTAGAACCACCAGCCTAAATCCCGGCAGGGTCGACTCAGCCCTTCATCCTTCCGAGGTAGATAAAATGAGTTCCACGCAGTTCGCTGTGTGGGGGTCTTCTGGAAAAGACCTTAAGGGAGAACAATATATATTGCTTGATCTTTCTGAGTGCCTCTGGCCTGAATCAGTAGCACTTGTGTACATGTCTAAAGCTTGGGGCATGCCAGGCTGAAGGGTCACAGCTGACTGAGTTGATGGGCAGAGATCTACCCATGTGAAGAATGTAATTTTTTTATCCTGTTGTAGATTAAGTGTTCCTTTTATTAAGCACTTCACCAGGAAAGCGCTATGTCAAGCAGTGTAGAAATCACAGAAAATCCTCTTAATTAATCCTGTAGCCACCTGCCACTATACCTGTCTTGAATTCAGTGGCTGGTATATTCCAGTGGTGAGCTAAGAGGAACCCCCAGTCCAGGAAGCAGTCCTCTTCTGTTTGTGAAGAGACCTGTGCCGAAAGGCTGGGAACAATGTCTTGTACACAGACCTCTTTCTGTGATCATAATGCATTCAATGAGCTAGCAGAGGCTGCGGTTCTCTGGTGACTGGCGCTCTGCGGGCTGACTGCTAGGTTGTTATATATCTTGGTTCACTACCTAGTCGTGCTTGGAAAGGGAAAAAAATGCATCTCTCTCCATTTAGATTGAGGTTGTTCCTTCTGCCTCTGCTCTGATTATCAAAGCTCTGAAGGAGCCTCCCCGTGATAGGAAGAAGCAGAAAAACAGTAAGTTGTCATCTGGCTTTGGTTCTAAATGTTGTTTGGGGTTAAGAGGGGCTTACCTGCCTCTAGATTATTCAGCATAAACAGAAAAGCAAAAGGAATCCCTTAAACGTTGGAGTAAAAGCAACAGTTTATACACCAACAACACTGAATTTCTTGTTTAAAGACTGAGTAGAGTAGCCACCCGCCACTGTACCTGTCTTGGAATGCAGTGACTAGTACAATCCAGAGGTGAGCTGACAGAAAATGCCAACTTAGGAAACAGAGTTATTCTTCTTGTGGTGGGTGATTTTGTGCCAAAGTTTGGGAACACAAGCGCTGATAGCAGTCCTGCTGTAGTCGTAGCTTCTCCAGTCTCTGTATGCTTTAAGCACTGGGAGCGGATGCTTCTCTTAACAAAGCACAAGCAACTTAATGTGCCCTGTATTTAAGTGAACTTACTGGTGCTATGGCTTTTTTCCCCCCTACAGTTAAGCACAGCGGCAGTGTCAGCTTTGATGAAATAGTGAACATTGCACGGCAGATGAGGCACAGGTCCCTGGCTCGAGAGCTCTCAGGTAAGTACTGCTCTTATGAAATTGTACTGAGCCCTCAGCTTGATCTGAGCGTCTAAGCCATGCTCTGGGTTGTTTTTTTTGTTTGCTTGTTTTGGGGGCAGGGGGGAAGAGTGTCCCTCATAACCACATTGTGGTGGTGAAGCTCCTCATGCAGCTTGTCTGCTCAAACACTGAACTCTTGGCTCCAGCACCATGTGAACAACCTTGTCTTGGCAGTGAGCAGCCAGCCTCCGTCTTCCGTGATAGTACAGGATGTCAAAAAGAAACATGTGGCTACAGCCTGCAAATCTCAGAGGGAATAAGGGACAACTGAAGGAGTGTTAGGAATCGTTCTCTGCTTGCTCTTGAGTTTGAGGAGATCTGAGCTGCTAAAACTAAAAATAGGATTTTACAATCTGAAAGTAAGACCTGAATGTGAGGTGAGGAGCCTTAAAGGGATTTTCCATATCCCAGGAAGTCCATTAGATGGTCTCCTGGCAGAATGGAGAAAATGCTGCGAGTGGAAGGATCTGAGTGCCACCACTGAAATACCTCTGTGGTACTTTTACCACAATGTTTCTGTGGTAAAACGCATCTGTGAGGCACTGACAGCCTGTCTTCCTGCTACAGGGACAATTAAGGAGATTCTTGGAACTGCCCAGTCTGTGGGCTGTAGCATTGATGGCAGGCACCCACATGATATCATCGATGACATCAATAATGGTGCAATTGAGTGCCCAGCTGTAAGTATCCATCTCTGGCAGAAATTGCTTTGCTTGGTTATTAGTAAAGGGCTCTCTACTAACGATCTATATTTGCCTCTTTCAACAGAGCTAAGACTGCAGAAACGAAGTTGCCCTATGAAGGTTCACTAAGTCTTTTTTGTAACAGCTTAAATACTTAATAAAACACCTAGTTGTCTGCAAATAATGTGACTGATTTAATTTATCCTTGTCTGAGGCTGCATGAATAGTGGGCTGGGACTGGGGTTCCTCTGCCCTGTGCTGCTGTACTAAGGTGATAGGAGTTCTTAAACTGAAAGCTAAAAGTTGTACGTGTTTCCCATTTGCTAATTTGCTACTTGGAGATGATTTCCTTGTGGCAACACTGAGCTTAACAGAAGTGCTGCAGAAGTCAGAGATGCCTCTAACCAGGACTCCCACACAGGCTGTAGAGAGCAAACATCACTAACTTGTGTCCTGTTTAATCTTCCGTAAGCTCTGTTCTTGCTGGTGCCAGACGTGCAGCTCTGACAGCAGCAAGAATTAGCCTTGTGTTACGCTAAGTGCTATGCTGACAGGTGCATCTTCCCCTGACACTGTATGGCCAGGACCGATGCACGCTGATTGTATCTCCCAGCTGCTGAGAAGTGATGTTATTGAGGCTTGAAAATAACTAGGCAGGCTGTCTTGCCTCCATAACCCTGTGTTAGAACAGCAATAGGTGCTTTTGGGATGAAATGGCTTTGACTAATACCTGTTTTAAAGGAAATCTTAGGTGTGCCTGAGTGCTCAGGCCTCTCATCCTTACATGTTCAGTCAGCATTCCCAGGGACTTCAAGAGCAGGACAGAATAGCTTTATGTACCTAACAGTATGCAATTTGGCCTTGCCTTTAGCCCCATCAGTATTAGTAGGAACCTCTGGCTTAGATGGCATTCTGGGTTGTTTTCCTCTTTTTAGAGCAGATGTGATTCTTTGATCAGCTATTTCTCCCGCCTCTAAGCAGAGATTTTTGGATTTTCCTCTGGTGACCAGGACAAGTACCCACAATGTGGACTTTGAGCTGCCTTTGTCTTTTGTGCTTTCTTCACTGCTGAACTAGAGCAAGTCCCTCGATTAGGGGTGAAATCTTGTCGTCTGACCACTGTTAGAGTTGCAAAGAGCCCGTGTGCCTCAGGTCTCTGGATTTCTTCAATGTTTATACTGGCTGAGTTGGGTAAAAAAGCTATGTAGCCATTCTCTGCATCATATCCTCCAAGTCCTGGTGTATCCTCTGAAAGAAAAAAGCAATACAAGTGTGTCTGTGCATAGGTATGGGGGAGGGGGGTTATGTAAATCCAGCACCAGTGTTTATCTGGGAGCAGATGATGCAACTTGTATGGTGTCTGATAAGCCGAGATCCTAAAACCTGGTTGAGCCACAGAACTTGTTTTCAGCAGTGAATGTTCTGGCTGCTTCTGCTAATTGACTGCACTGGACTGGAGTGTCAACTTGTACTTAACCTGCTCTTAACTGCTGCTTGCAGTAGGCAAAAGGAGCTTGGTGTCAGGCTAAACAGCATCTTCCTGAAGGAAGGGCAGCTTGTTACCCTGAGGATATTAAACCTCTTGGTAAGAGCTGTCCTATCCCCTTGTAGTATGGATCTTGAGAGGGGGTATAAGTGCAGATACTGGAAAGCATGGTAAGAACAAACAAAGGTTTAGCTTTGCTTCTTCAAAATCAGGGTGACCGATTGGCAAAACTCCTTTTTAGAGGAAGAGCCCTGCAAACACCATCTACAGGGATCTGATCTGGGTGATCTCATCAATGAACTGTTAGGATTGTCTTCTGAGCCTAGCTGCTACCAACTTTCCTCTTTCTGGAGAGGTTCCTGTGTGTTTCAGGCCTCATACTGGGAAATCATTGTACTTCAGAGGCTATTTGATACTTTGTTCTCAAACCTGAAAACTCTACCTGCTACAGTGATATGGATGGATGATGTGGATAGCACCTGAGTTCTCCAAAGACACCGGGGAAACCTTGTTCTGTTTTCAGCAAAAGCTGATTTTGTTTTTCTCTTGGGGCAGCACAGTGCAAGGGAAAAGGTTGTGGGAAGCTCTATTAGAAATAAAATTATCCTCGTTATCAAGAAGGCTTGACTCAGGTGTTGCTAGAAGGGCCTGTTTACAAATGTATTATGCTTGCTGCCTACTTCAGCACTAACAGAGCTTCCTGGGGTTTTGGGGTGGCAGGGGGGGGTGGCGGCAGCACTAGTCAGGAATGTTAATTTAGATGCATTTTCAAAGGGCAACTGGAATAAAGTTCTTCCTGAGATGCTGAACTGTATTAGCTTTGACACTTGGCAAAATGTTCTACAAGGGATGTTTTCCTCCTCTACAAAGACAGTTGATCAGCTTTTTTCCTGCCACTGCCTCTTCACTGTTGCAAATAACTGAAAAGTATTTTTTGGGGGCAGTATTTAGAGCCTTAGAGTAAAACTTTCTGGCTGGAGCTGTACCATAGCAAACAGGATGCCCTAAAGTGCATTGCAATAATGGTGGTGTGGTGGGGTTGTGCAGGAATAAGTGTGGTACAGGAACTAGCAGGGATGCTAGAACTCATTGAAAGGGGTCTTGATTGTTTACCTGGGTCTGAGTGTCTCTGAGCTTCTTGCAGGAAGAAGCCAATGTAGCAGGGGGGTGAAGTTGGCTGCACTTGAGAATAGGCTGCAGTTGTGTCATATGCACTAGGTGCTGAATGATCTGGAGCTCCTGTGAAAAGAAAGAGGAAAAATCGCAAGCCTCCAAATCCCAGGCAGAAGCCAAACTGGAGAAGGCATGCAGTGGTAGCTGGGTTAGGCTTCTGGGAAGTTACTCTGCTCCATGTGCTGACCACTGTTGTAGTAACGCTTATTTCTAAAATACATGCAAGTAACATGTTACTTCTCAGCATACAAACCACTCTGCAATTCCTAAGCAGTTGTAGTTGAAGGCTACTTTGACTCACAATTGCTCTGCATCTATTTGGGGAAACTAAAGCTTTGTTCGCTCTAGTTTAAGCCAGAGGTGTGGATCTCCTGGCTTGGGCTGGGTCTTCAGTGTTGCCTCTCTTGGCACACAGCAGAGTCATGCCCTAGAAATGTATCTTGTACTGCTTGTGAGGCATAAAATGCATGTTCTGTTAGCAATGGGACCTTTAGAACTAATCACCTGCGTGTGCATATAATTCAACAACAAATAAACTGCTGCTTTGGCAAGATTGCAAGTTCATGTCTGTTCTGCCTCTGTGTTAAAATGGCTTGCAGCAAAGCAGGTTAAACTTCACAAAAGTAGACCCAGGGGAAGGAGAATGAGAAGTTATCCTAGCCTGTCCTTGCAAGATTCAGAATGCCAGGTCAGCCTAGGGACCAGCCAAAAGAAACTGCTAATCGTGTCCGTCTTGCACCGCAGTCCTGCTGTCTCATCTGAGGTGTTTAATAAAGCAACATTTCTGAAATTTCACATTTCCCTCATGGACAGAAGGGAAAGATGCACAAATAGCAATAAGGGAGTTGCCAAGATCTTTGGAGAAAGGCTGAGCTGTCAGTTCAGAGGAGAGCAAGCGGTTGCTGGAGGGAGGACAGGCACGTGGAGGAATTTGGGCTGAGCGGTACACTCACGTTTTCTGAGGAGATTCGTTTTTGTCCTTTCTTCCCTTGAGTATGCTGCTGTGGTCGCTTGGGTGCCCCGGAGGTCGAGGGCTGGCTGTAGTGAAATGGGGAAGGAATTTGTTTTGGTTTTTTTTTTTTTTACTGAAAAATTCATTTTTATCCAAATGAGCCACCATGGCAGGCATTTTTTTATATGGCACATCCCAGCCCATGACTAGAGAGGAAAGGTTTTTCATCCTCTGCCACTGTGGAGAGCAGAGCTCAAACCTTCCTCCCCACTCCTAAGGCAAGAGTGATCAAAGGCAAACCCAAACGTGCCCCAGAAATTGCAGGGCAGAGCAGCTCCCTGCAGAACCCATGAGGGTTTTGCCCACAAATGGTTTTGGGTCTCCTTCTGTTCCTTTACAGTGCGGGGTGTCATCTTAGGCAGCTCTGCTTGCAGTCCGGGGCCCTTGCTGGCCCACCTCGCCTTCCGCCTGCCCTGGGCTCTCTGCACACAGGCAAGGCAGAATTTTTTTTGCAGCCTATTTAGCTGGTGGAAGCAGAAAGCAGGATTGCTCATGGCTTTACTCTCTTTAGTTTGTTCTGCCTGCATTTTCTGAGGCAACCAGGAAAAAACAACAGCTAAAAGGAAAGCTGAAATCCCAGGCACTTGCTGTCTTTCATTCCTTAGACTGGGAGTTGATTAGATTTCACGCTAGGGATGCTGCTTTGATACTTTCTGAATCAATGTCTGGTGGTGTTCCCTGTGCTCTGTAGCCTTGCACGCTCCCTGCTCGTCTGTCCCATCCCAAGCGCTTGGGCTGCCACCTGCTAAACCACAGCAGGGAACTGAGGTGGGTTCAATTAAACTAGCAAAAATGGTTTTATTCCAAATCAGCTCTCCAATCTGTTTCATGATAAAATTCAAGAAAGACAAATGCAAAATCCTGGACTGGGACACAAGAACCCCGAGCAGCGGTACAGGCTGGGGGCTGACAGTTAGGAAACGGCTCTGTGTTGACCTTGCGACAAAGAGGGCCAACTGCACGTGGGCTGTGCTGGCCAATAACCAGCAGATCTTTACTTCTGAGGCCACATCTGGATTCTGAGTGAGGACTCCCCAGTGCAAGGAAGGTGTTGAGAAACCAGAGTCCAGTGGAGGACCATGAAGATGGTTAGGAGGCTGGAGCATATGATGTGCAAAGGAGAGGCTGACTGAGTGACCTGAGCTTGTTCAGCGTGGAGGACAGAAGACTAAGATTCTTGTCTTTAAAACGAAGTTATAGAGAAGATGGAGGCAGACTCTTCTTGAAAGTGCAAGCGAAAGAACAAGATGCAAAGGACATGCATCGCAACAAGGGAAATTCTGATTAGATAAAAGGAAAAAAATCTTTGTGATGTGGGTGGTCAAACAGTGGAACAGGGACCTAGAAGGGTGGTGGGGTTTCCATCCTTGGAGATATTCAGAACTCGGCTAACGCAGCCTTGAGCAACCTGGTCTAGCTCCAAAGTTGGCCCTGCATTCAGCAGACGGTTGGGGTCCCATCCAAGCGAAATTATGCAGCGGTATACAATAAAGCTGCACAAATGCTTATA